TTTTTCTGGTTAAAAAAAAAAAAAAAAAAAAGGGACAGACGCTGTTCGCGTACCCTACTCGCCTGTGTGATCGAGTTAAAGCTAAACAGAGACAACAGCGCCTACTACGGGATGATCCAGGCGGATCTTCCCCAGACCAGCAAGTGGCGCTGACGGTAGCGCTTGGGGTTGGCAACGGCTGGACTGTGACTGGGCAGGAAATGGCAGAAGGAAGTGACGAGTCAGGAAGTGAGATGGGATTCGAAGAAGATGGCGGGGGAGATAGTAGTGTATGGAATGTAGTACGATCGAGAAAACGGAAAAAAAAGGAAATGAAACAACGAATATGGATGAAACTGATAGTGAGCAAAGTGTTATTGTAACAACAAGGCAGGAAGAAGAACATAAAGTGATCGTAAAATTATATGAAGAAGGGACGACGTTTGGTGAGTGGAACCCGGTTAAATTAACAAAAGCAATAAATAAATTGCTGGGTGAGATCAAAAATGCTAAGGTATTGAGGAACGGCTCACTGTTGATTGTTTGTAGAAATAAAGTGCAGCAAGAAAACGCCTTACGACTGAATCAAATCGATAGTAAGAGAGTGCAGTGTTCGGTATTCGAGTACAAAAAATTTATTCGAGGAGTCATTTCAGGGATACCTACAGACATTTCAGAAGAACCGTCTGTACGAGACAAGCTCACGAGACTCACAAAATGAAGCGACGGAGGGAATATTGCTGTTAGCGGAGGGCCTTTAGAAGGGTTTGCGGGCGCGGGATCGCAGCGAGAGGCGCAGACTTGGCAGCAGTTGAGGACTTTGATCGGTTGAGCGCGATGATAAAGCTCAAGTCCAGCCAGACGCGCACTTACGACAGAGACGGCTACAAGCAGCGCGCGGCCTGCCTGTGCTTCCGCAGCGAGCGCGAGGAGGAGGTGACTGCTGCTTTATTCTCTTCGAGCTGACAGACGCCTCGCCTAATAAACACTCGGTGTTGTGTGAGGGGTCTGGCTAAACGACCTCTGCGCACATCTGCTTGCTTGTCTTCGACAGAGTATGTCACCTATTTAGTAAAACTTAGCCCCTGTGGTAAATTACGCCAGTGTGACTCTGTTATTGCCACTACTGTAAAAACAAAGCGAGTTTGTGATCTCATTCAAATGTTTACCAACTCATGAAGTGGTCTTAACCGTAAGTTGTTGGACATTTTACGTGTAAATGCCATGTTTTTATCTTGCAGTATAATTGCAGTATAATCATGTAAATATCAAATACATGATAATTGGCTATCATCTTCAGTAACGTCAGGGCTCGCGACATTTCATAATAGCCCAAATAAAAAAGACCTTTAAAAATAATAAATAAAAGAACAATTTGGAAATCAGATAGGAGTTTAAATGTAAATCAAAAATATTTTCAATACACAAATATCAAGAACTATGAAGGAAGGAATTTTATTTCACTATTCACAGGGTATCTGCATAATTAAAAAATAAATAAATGTAAGGCAATTTATGACCCATGTTAAGAGCTGCACAAGTAAAATGAACACAGTATGAGTGGGGTTGGACAATGTCTGTGGTAACATACGGTACTGAGCCATAAAATTACATGATTTACAGCTCAGATACACAAAAACAAAAATCTTATTCAACAGCATTTCAGCCTTTAGACCTTTTTTATGAAAAGGGATAAATCAAGCATATAAATTGTTAATTTGAAACGTATAAATATTAATGTCTTAATTGTTTAGATTTTTAGAAGGCACATTATCTTCTTTCTCATTTACAACTCTGTGTTTGCTGCGTAAAAACACGAGTTGATATTTGCATTGATCTGACCATAAACAGCAAGAAAGGCTTGTTGGAAATGCAGATTCATTCTCTGCCACGAGGTGGCGCTTTAGGAGCTGAAATATAGCGGTTTCCCTGGTAACGGCTGCACACAAAGCAGCTCCGCGCTCATAAACGGATACAACTCACTTTAGGAGTGTTTAAGGACCCGCGGGAGATCTGTATTTAACAGTTGCGTTCGATCCTTCGCTGGCTGTGCTGATTTAAATCTAGCGGTTCTGTTGTGTTTGTGTCGCAAGTTCAGTGACGCAGGTAGTGACGATTCTCTCCGGCCAATCCGTGATCAGCAGAGTTTACACGTCACGTTTTGGTAACGGTACGGTTCACTTGGAACCCCAACCGAGGTGGTACTAAAAAAAGTACCAGGTACTGGACCCAGTGGAAAACCCCCCAAAAGTGAACCGTACGGAGCCGTACCGTGCCGTACCATGCAGTGGAAAAGCGCCATTAGATAGCCAGTCGGGCAGAGTGGTGCTATTTTGGTAGCCTGACTGGAAAACACAATAGCCCCGGGACGTCGGGCTAGAGATTTCGCGAGCCCTGAACGTTACAGTGGTATTGAATTTATTATCTAAATCTGCTACCCTCACTGTATCATGATATTGACATTTTTTGAAAACCGTGCTGGCTAATATCATGCTACAGTAACAGCCATTAAAGTAGTTACAGTGTTGTCATTTAGTATAAGCGGATCATTTATTTGCGTGTTGCAATGTTAAGAATGTTATAGAATTCAGGCACACTGTTTGTTTCACTCTATTTAACTCTATTTAATTCATTTATATTTCTGGTGCCTTTAATCATGATTCTCACTCATTATAAGGGTTTGTTACTCATTCTGTCATATTCGACATCTGCTTTACTAATAAACTGAAATGGAAATTGAATTAAGTCAGAAAGTGATGATTAGTTTCTCAGACCATGCGGGCAGGTTATGACCTGTGCATATCCACAGAATAAAGGTTATTACTAACAGTAGCACGGTTATTTAAAATCATTTTTAATCTTGTTTTTGTTTTTCCATTCCATTTATGTAGCATTTACAAATAATCCTTATCCATCATTTTGACTGAATGGGCTGTAAATTTCCATTAATTTTCTATTTTCAGAAGTAGGACTGGGCGATACGGGCAAAAATCCCGAAAATCTCGGTATTTTCATTTTTGTATTTGGATTAAAAAAATGTTTATTTAATATATATATATTTCACTTACCGCCCAGTGTTGTCCAACAAAACAATCCATATTAAAGGCTAAAGTGAATGTAACCATGCAACCCTTTATATTATGTGCAAAAAGGGTTAAAATCACATTTCATTCTAACATTGCAATCTAAAAACAAAAATAAGGCTTTTAAAGCAGAAGTTAAATTCACTAAACTAAAAATGAAAATAAATGAGAACAAAAGCACAGAGTTGTGTTAGGCTATTTTGATTACCCCATTACAGTAACTTTACAGTTAGTGCTATCATAAAAATAGACGTACTTGTAGGTTTAAAATTCTACATGTCACATTTATTGCAAATATTTCAGCGAAATGTATATTTTAGTCAGAATTATTGCGCTCCTATTTAATTGAGCTCTGTCTGTTTGGCGCTCGTTCACTGAAGTGAAGTTTAGCGGAGAATCCCAGAAGGCTCATGCACTCCTGACAGAAAAATAGAAATATTTCCATGGCTTTCTAACATTTACAGATGGAGAATAGTGTCTCTGTCAGTGGCACACGCAGCCTTCAGTCAGAGCATATGACGGGCCGAGCCGCTTAAACTAATATGCGAAACGAAACTATAAACTATGTTTTACCAGTTTTTAAAGGCCTTAATATGAAGCTTGTCACATGTTTAGAACAAATTGGATTATGCACTTTCTCGCAGCAGCTCAGTCTGTGTCCTCTGCTATATTTTCAGATGTGCTCGTATCAAACTAACTTACTGCATATCGATATAAACGGTATTGCCTCATATCGAATCGCTTATAAAGAAAATATCGATATATCGTACACACTCGATATACCGTCCAGCCCTTTTCAGAAGTCAGGAGAATAACATTACGTGTATATTAATGTGATGTGATGCAACAACGATATCTATAGAATAGCTCTTTTCAGCCCACTGCATTATTTTCCTCCTGACTATTTTCATGTTTCCTTTGTTTTCCGCTGTAAGCAGATGAAAAAAACAACATTTAGGCTACTGTGCATTTGTGGTCTGCTCTCCCGATTTAATTTACGATATAAACCGTGAATAATTGACTGGAATGCACTAAGGATCTTTCATTTTTCTCCGCAAATGTCTCTTTCCAGGTTTGTTTTCACACGGATGCTGTATAATCTAATTGTTGCGAAATATAGACATATTACTATAATGATATTTAACATATCCATAATATTGCTGTGGATAGGAGGAGGATCTTTAGGAGTTATTCATGGTATGCTGAAAGTAATTTGTTAATGCTTTTACACATTTTTACATTTTCTTTTAATGTGCGATGGTTGAAGTGTGCGTGAAATAATGTCACCTCATTGTACCTAGTTTTTTGAAAATGCATATTATTGCATTCTTAGAGTGAACCTTTTGCTGATTGTTTACAGCGTAGGCGGAAGTTACTCCAGTAATGTGTGCATAGTGTTATGAGGCATAGGAGAGAGGTGTGTAGAGATTGCCCTGATGCCCAGTGTGTGGTGTCTGTGTCAGGTGCTGCTGGTGAGCAGCAGAAGTCATTCGGACAGATGGATCGTTCCTGGAGGAGGGATGGAGCCCGAGGAGGAGCCCAGTGCTGCTGCTGTCAGGGAGGTGTGCGAGGAGGTGCGCGTTCCTCACAAACTCTCGTTATGTGTTGGGTCTGCACATTTTATCTCTGCAAATTACATTCCTCAGAGAGCGTACAGTGGAGGACTCCTGGTTTGCAATCTGGAGAATTCAGAATTGTGTAGAATTTCAACAAAGCGAGGTCTGTCGAAATTCTACACAATTCTGAATTCTTGAGCATTGCAGTAAGGTTTAATTTAGGGCTGCACGATGAATCGCATGCGATATTTAATGCGCATCTTGTCAGAAAGCCGGTTCTGTAATCAGCGGTAAATCTCCATCACCTGCGGGCTTTCACATGGAGCAGCATTAACTACACAGAGCCGTTGTTCACTGACGAGCTGTGCAAAAAATCGCGCGAATATGAACGTGGTTTTGTGCAGCTTGTCGGTGAACAACGGCTTTGTGTAGTTAATGCTGCTCAATGTGAAAGCACGCAGGTGATGGAGATTTACCGCTGATTACAGAACCGGCTTCACTGATAAGATGCGCGTTAAATATCGCATGCGATTTATCGTGCAGCCCTAGTTTAATTCATTAACATTAATTCCATTAACTAGTAATGACCAACACTTTTACAGCATTTATGTTTGTTTACTGTAATTAGTATTATTAGTAATATACTGTAATTATACTATAATGAATTAGTAATATACTGTCGTTCACTCTTAATGGACCCTTTTCACAAGACTGTGAGGACTCGTTTAACGGTCATCAGCATCGTAAATCCTCGAAAGTTTTTTATATTTAGATTTTTTTTTTAAATGTATGTACATTTATAACACTATACTTTGTACTATACCACCTTTGCATCAATTTACAAAAAAACTAGTTAACGCTAATAGTGCTGCACGATTAATCGAATGTGATTGTCAAGCGCATCTCGTCAGTAAAGCCGGTTCTGTGATTAGTAGTAAATCTCCATCACGTGCTTTCAGATGGAGCGGCATTTACTACACAGAGCCGTAGATCACCAACAAGCTACACGAAAAAATTGCGGACAATATAATCGTACGATTATGAAATTGTTCTGCGATAATGACAGCTGTTTGCGTAGCTTCTCAGTGAACTATGGCTCT